AATGCTTATAATCCTTTCTAACTGAAGATGCTGAGAGTTTTTATGTTTATACAGTCTTCTTTTAGAAAATGACATGTAACAGCAAAGTATTTACTCAAAACCTCCCTTTTGAGTAAAATATTCCAGTAAGTTAATGTATTAGTATTAATAGTGACAATCAGCTGACAGTTTTTCACCATCAAATATAAAAAATTTAGTTTTGTTGAGCATATTCATCCTGGCTGGCTGATGATAAACTGGACAGACCTGGGTTAGAGCTATTATTTTGTTTGCTTAGTGAGTCACTGTTTATGTGAATTCTTTTTTACTGGGGTTTTTGGGTTTTGTTTGTTTTTTAAAGAAATACTTGGTATCAGCTTTGCAGGTGACTAATACATTGCACAGATTAAATGTTTGTTCAGATGACAGCATCTTTCACTAGAAATATACTTCGTTAAAGGAAACTGTATCATTACTGTGGCGAGTTGAATGAAGTTCTAAGACCTTTTCCCTGTTGTCAGAGAGTTGTTCATGAAAATCTTCTTTGAGACTATTTTGAATTTAATGGATCTGTATAATTCTTTTCTAAACATTTAGAATATAATTATAGGTAATTGTTACTATCATAAATCTGTGCTGGTTAAATTAATAAGAATGTTTCAAAGTAAGAATTATAAATGTATTTTCAGTGATTTTGCAGAAATAGAGCATGTATTCTTTCAGGTTTGTATTTTTTTAATTTATAGTTTATTTCTATTGCAGAGCATATTTATATCTGCCATTTAACTCACATATATGCCCAACCCATCCATTTTATTTAAAACCAAAACAAAACTAGTTTCAAACTTATGTCAAGCCAGAAGGAATCTTTGTAAATTTTGTTTGTAGAAGAGTGAACTTACAAAGAGATTCCACACTTTTGACTCTTTTTTGGTATTTGGAGGTCTTTCACAGTGAAGCCTTTTTCCTATATCCTGTTAACATATCACCCTAAGAGAAATTGTTAGAAAAAAGCTGGGTACTGTCACTCACACCTGTAATCTCAGTACTTTGGGAGGACAAAGCAGGAGGATCCCCTGAGGCCAGGAGTTCAAGACCAGTCTGGGCGTCATAGCGAGACCCGCCCCTTCTCTTAAAAAAAAAAAACAAACCAGACCTGGTAGTGGCACATACCTGTAATCCCAGCCACTCAGGAGGCTGACGCAGAAGGATCATTTGAGGCCAGGAGTTCGAGACTGCAGTGAACTGTGATAGGGCCACTGCACTCCAGCCGTTGTGACAGAGTGAGATCCTGTTTCTTAAAAGGAAAAGAAAAAATTGTTAGAAAAGTGCCATTGCGGGAGTTAAGTGTGTAGAAGAAGCAGTAGCTTCTTATCACTTGCCTAGTTCTGATCCACTTTAACAGGTGTAGAAATGTTGGTTCAAACAGATTAAGTTCTCAGGTACATTGCTAGTAGAACAGGCTGAGATTTAGACCTGGATGTTTTAACTCAAAACCCTGTACTCCTTCCATAAGGTCCCTCCTGGGACAAATTATAATATATATGAAACAGATGTGAATCAAAATAAAACAATGGAAAAATAAATAGTACTTAGGTTTTGGAGAGTGGCAACTATATGTCATCACCATCTATAAGGTCCCTTTCTGTGGGAAAATGGGTTCTGGGTTGGAACAGGATGTCAGGATTAACAATGTTCCAATGCCTCTGGAAGCAGAGACTCATTACATAACAGAAGGGATTCTCAATCCCTACTCCATCAGGCTGCTACAGTTTGAAAATTATTACAGCGTATGACATAGATTAAATGGAAGAAAGATCTCTTGAGTTTATGCTATAATTAATGAACAATTGGTGAGGGAGGCAATATTTTCCTTGAAGGATCTGTTAATGTGAGAAACAGAGAGATGAGATGAGGATCCAAAGTTTCTATAAAGAAAGAGGTTTCAGTTATAGGGGAAGTAAGAATATAGGCCAAGAACTGGGACAACTACTCATAATAAGAGCTAGCATGTATACACCTAATTTAATCAACACATCCCTATCAATGCAGATGTTGTTATAATCTTTTATACATAAGGAAACTGAGACAGACAATTTGCTCTGGGTTTTGTACCAGCTTCTATGAGTCATCAGGGCCTGAAATCAAAAACCACTGTCTGCTCTCTACCTCATGGTAGCTTGGCTAAGAGTCTAGCCTAACCAGATAGACAAATGAGAGAATAAGCAGAAATAAAATTGAATGCAAAAGGTGGGTTCTTACTTTTAAGGGCATTGAATGGTAGTTAGGTTAATAAAGATTTAACTTGGGTGGGGTAGAAAACCATTCAATGATCATGAGCGAGGTAGTAACATAATTCTTGAGGAAAGCACAGATTTAAGAAAGTCAAGTTGCACGGTCGTCTAGACGTGAGGCTGTTTCTGCGATCACAGTACCCCTGTGAGACTGAAGTATTGACCCCATTCGAACTGAGCAAGATGAAGTCTAAATGAGATGATAGGTATAGTCCAGGGACACCCAGGGAGTATCCAGGAGCTTGGGGTACACGCTGCTCCTGTCACACCTGCGCTCTGTCCCCTGGGCAAGTCAGCCTCCCCTTCTGCACATGCTTGGTGCATAGTAGACACGCCTGACATTCTTTTCTACTTATCCCTCATCTCTTTGTCTACATCCTGTGCTAGGAGCTGGAGATACAAAAATAAGGAATGATTTTGGTATTTTAGGAACCCCCAGGACACTGGGAGACAAACATATAAACAAATAATGCCCTGTAGAATAAAGGTGCTAAGAAAAAAAGAGGCAATGCCGGCACAGAAGCCCTCTCTTCCCTTCTTCCTTTCTGTCCAGACCTCCTTTTCATTCCCTCTCCTCCTCCCCTCCGCACTGTGTGTTGTCTCCCTCAACTCCCCCACACCCCTATTCATTCATACTCTCTTGTGTGAGGCTCTATCCCCTCAGACAGTTCTCGTCACACTGCCAGAAAGAATCTTCCAGGCCTGTGTTGTACAGTGTGCATTGTTGTTAATGCATTTTTTTTACTTTTATTTTTACTTCTGTGGTATTTAAAACATATCCTTATCTTCAGAATGATGCAGATCAAGAAGTAGTAGATCAAATACAAATATGTATTTAAATAATATTAATCATCAGATATTGAATCTAGAGGTGATTTGATTAGAACCATAGTTTTTTGACTGACTTTTTTTAATGCGGAATACACAGAGACTTCTTTTGAAATTTGGTGGGTTTAAATGAAAACATAACTTGGAACATTTTTTCAGAACTGTGGTTTAAGCTGACACCCAGATACTACAAAACGCTGATGTTTCGTGCTAAGTAAATATTACTTCACAAGTATAAATATGCAATACTTAAATTAGGTTAATTCTGAAATCATTAAATTTTGTTACTTTAGAAAGTCGCGGGAAACATTTATATTCTAAAAATATTTTTGTGTTTGGCTGCTTGATACAGATTTTCTGAACCATGTAATTCTGATCATATGCAGGACAAGACCCGTATGATAAGACTAACATTGTTCATAGATATGGAGTCCTTTTTGGGGGTTTTAGGTGATGGGGAAAACCAGGGCTAGAAAAGAAATAGCGTGTAAGTTTCCAAGATGAGGACTGTGTTTTATTTCTCTGTGGTGCCCCAAAACTTAGAGCCAAGTACTTAGTGTTTGTTGAACTCATAAGTCATATAGGTTTTGTGTGTGTGTGTGTGTGTGTGTGTGGCTATGCTTTATTGTAGCAAAATTTTGATATTGTCCTATTATATAATAACATAATAAGTGGGTATCTGAGTAATGTTTAAATTCGTTTTTTAAATTTCGTGAATTTTTAGTAATAACATTATAAAATAAGTATAGTTTTTTTGTTTTTTTGTTTTTGTTTTTTGAGACGGAGTCTCGCTCTGTAGCCCGGAATGGAGTGCAGTGGCCGGATCTCAGCTCACTGCAAGCTCCGCCTCCCGGGTTCACGCCATTCTCCTGCCTCAGCCTCCGGAGTAGCTGGGACTACAGGCGTCCGCCACCACGCCCGGCTAGTTTTTTGTATTTTTTTAGTAGAGACGGGGTTTCACCGTGTTAGCCAGGATGGATCTCCTAACCTCGTGATCCGCCCGTCTCGGCCTCCCACAGTGCTGGGATTACAGGCTTGAGCCACCGTGCCCGGCCCTAGCTTTTTTTTTTTTTTTTTGCAAAATATAATTATATCGGCTGGGTGTGGTGGCTCACGCCTGTAACCCCAGCACTTTGGGAAGCTGAGGCGGGCGGATCATGAGGTCAGGAGTTCAAGACCAGCCTGGCCAAAATAGTGAAACCCCATCTCTACTAAATATACAAAAAATTAGCCAGGCGTGGTGGCGGGCGCCTGTAATTGCAGCCACTTGGGAGGCTGAGGCAGAAGAATCACTTGAACCCGGGAGGCAGAGGTTGCAGTGAGCTGAGGTCATGCCATTGCACTCCAACCCGGGCGACAGTGCGAGATTCCGTCTCAAAAAATAATAATAATTTTAAAAAATTATATCCTAGCTAATGTACTAAGGTATTATTTTTCTAATTGACATCATGAAGAAACATTCTATATTATCTTATAAGTAGAATAATGTAGGGAGAGGTTCATTGTTTAATACATTTTTAGTCTCATCACCTATAAAGAACAAAATGATTTTCTAGGCCCGATCATGCTGACTCAGTAATTCATTTTATGTCTCTGAAGCTTAAGGCATGGCATACTTATTCATTTCATTGTAATTTTTTTTAAAAAACTATTTTGAATAGTAACCAAATATTGAAAAAAACTAATACTGCTTCAGGCAGACGAATTTGTGAATGACTGTAACAATTAAGCAATTCAAATTCACAGAATAGATGATGATTCTTAGAATAGGTGTTTAAAATGTTCTCAAATACATTCTATGACAGTTTTACCCTGCACACTTTATATAAAAGGGAAATTAGTTTATTGAGAAATAATAATATATAATTATTAACTCTTTTTCTTTTCATTCTACTTTAGAATGCCTATTATTAAACCAGACATAGCCAACTGGGAGCTCTCAATAAAATTGCATGATAAAGTTCATACTGTAGTAGCATCAAACAGTGGGTCAACGTTCTTGGTGAGTTTTCTTTCTTTATTTTCTTGGTAATCTTGATATTATCTATGAATATTTAAAGCCATTTTTAACCTGTTCAGTGACTCTTATCTTTTGAATTTATGGCACCTCTATGTACTTGTTTCATCTTCTTTAGGAAGCTGAATGGAAATGGAAATTTTTTGTTCTCTTATGCTAATTAGGAGATACATTTCCAGATTTAGCCACATCCTAAACTCACTTTCTGATATTTAATTCATTTTTCTTTTATGCTATGAGAAGTAATACTTTCGCCTTTGTTACAGAGAAGAGCATTTTGAATTACAATTCCAAATGTGTGATAGTGGTGGCAGGTAACTATCCTTTTAAAACAAATAATCTGAAGCCTCATGTAACGTTATCTTTAGATCTCATGTTGCGAGATGCTCTTGAAGCTAAATTTACCTCTTTAATTGACATTCTTTTTGTTTTAAAGAACTTAAACCCCTTGGATATAGTGTCCAAGACAGAACTGCTATAGTTGGAATTCTAGTCTATAGTGAACAATATTACACTAAGATTTCAGTGTTTATACTGTAGTATGAGTGATATGTTTAAACCTGTGATTCGAGTGTGCCAAAAAATACCATTAAGAGTTGCTATTTTAAGTCATATGCCTTCGTATTTTCAGCCTGAACTCAAGGAGGTTGCTATTAATATATAGTATAATGAATATTCTGTTTATCTACATTTCTCTTCTAATGGCTAAGTTGCATTGAAATGTCATTTTGTTTTGGGGAAACAAGTGAATTTTTATCAGAATATTGAAATAGGATGTGAACATCAAAATAATGTAATTTCACACAAATAAGACCTGGTGTGGCTTGAGAGGGGTGTGGCAGTTTCTTGATCTCAGTGAGAAAATATCACAAGTCGAAGATTCATGAGAATTCATTTATTCCACAAATTATTGTGGCATGCCTACTGTGCGCCAGATCAGTTCCACGCTGTTGTCCTGGGGAAGCTGACATTCTTGTATGGTGTCAGACTCACGAATCAATGATGTCAGTCCATGAACTAAGGGTAATCGCCTTGGTTTTCTTTAAATATTGTGACTCACTATATAAGCCAAAATTGCTAAAATGTTAGATACTGAAAGAGACTTCACTCAGCTCTCTTAAAATGAAAGCTATGATGGAGTTAAACAGCTGTCTCATGAGATCCTGTGTGACTCTCTACATTCCACCTATTGACGTGGTCATTTCAGAAAAACAGCGTTCTAAGTGGACATTTAACCAGAGATCAGGTTGAGTAGCAAATTATAGGAAGTGAATAGTAAAGAGTATCCATATTACAATGTACCATTTTTTTTTTCCTGGGGGAAGATTACCTTTACAAAAATGTAGACTTTAGCATAATTTTCAGTTCTGTATTGAGTCACCACTGAAACCTTACTGTAATCTGATATTCTGATACAATGTTCTTTTAAGTAGTGCCTTGCCTTAATAAAGAAAACTGTCTAGATTACTTTTTAGAGCTGTTACTTCTTTTCCTTTTCTTTTCTTTTTTTTTTTTATGTTTTTGAGTTGGAGTCTTGCTCTGTCACCCAGGCTGGAGTGCAGTGGCATGATCTCAGCTCACTGCAGCCTCTGCCTCCCAGGTTCAAGCGATTTCTCCTGCCTCAGCCTCCCAAGTAGCTGGGACTGCAGGCGCATGCCACTACATCCAACTAATTTTTGTAGTTTTAGTAGAGATGGGTTTCACCATGTTGGCCAGGCTGGTCTTGAACTCCTGAGCTCAAGTGATCCTCCTGCCTCAGCCTCCCAAAGTGCTGTGATCACAGGAGAGCTGTTGCTTCTTTATGCTTGTTTTAGATTCCATGCTGAAAACTAGAGACCTCTGGCCTGACTGCATATAGCTTTAATTTTTTTCTGTAGAATTATCTCCAGCTTCACTTTTTAGCTTATGAGGAAAACAGGGCTGTTTTTAAAACACATCAAAATCAGTACATTAAAAATTTCCCTGGAAAATATCTACTTTAGTATATAGTATCAGAAATGATTTCCTATATTTATTGGCTTAGCTACTGTCAGAGCATCAATAGCCCAATGAATAGCATATGCACATGATAGCGTAGCCCTTTTTCCTAGGCATATTTGAATTGAGCTACTTTCATTTGACATCAGTATTATGAAAGGAGGCAGGTTGAACAGCGTGGTGTAAGTAAAGGCTCATTGGTAGAAAGATTTCAATAGTATGGCACTATTGTCTGCTTTTAGGGTCATAGACGGGAGAGCTGTGATTGTTAACTTAGTTTCCCAGATCACCCACTGTCATATCAAGAAAAAAATTAGCCTACAGGTGACAAGCTAGGTCTGGGTTAATGACTCTGGAGATAGTGCAGGCACTACTTAGCACAGTGAAGCTTTAGGTGCCCCACATTTCTAGAGTTCTGTTTAATTTTTACAAGTTTAAATTATAAGATATTTCTAATAAGGAAAGTACAGCAAATGCTGCAGATTTTCCTTACGGATCTCCTATTTAAAAAGAAAAATGTATAGATTAAACTAAGTCCTGTTTTTACATCATCCTGTTCTACTTTCTCCCAAGCAGTGGCAGCTAACCTGAAGATGCTGTGTGTCCCTCCTGTACGTGCTGTTAAGAATTTTGGTACATATGTATATACCACAATAATGGTAAAAAGGAAAGTTGCAACAATATACGTAGTTAATGGCACTGTTTATGTAAATTTTAGGCAAAACAGTTTCATTTACAATAGAATCAAAAAGACTAAAATACTTGGGAATATATTTAACCAAGGAGGCAAAAGGCTTGTACACTGAAAACTACAAAAGGTTGCTGAAAGAACTTAAAGAAGACACAAATATATGGAGGGATATCTTGTGTCAGGGACTAGAAGACTTAATATGGTTAAAATATCAGTACCTCTCAGCTACTTGGGAGGCTGAGACAGTAGGTTCACTTGAGCCCAGGAGTTTGTGCCCAGCCTGGGCAACACAGCGAGACTCCATCTCTGGGGAAAAAGAAAAACGAAAGAAGGAAATGTCAGTACTACCTGAAGTGATCTACAGATACAATGCCATCCCTATCAAAATCCCCAAATACATTTTGTTGCAGACATAGATAAATTTATTTTAAAATTCATGCAATTTCAAGGGGGTCCCAAATAGTCAAAACAACCCTGAAATAGAAGGAGAAAGTTGAAAGCCTTATACCTCCTCATCTCAAAACTTATTACAAAACCACAGTTTTCAAAACAGTGTGGTACTGCACATATATAGACATATATATAGACCAATGGACTAGGATAGAGAGCCCATAAATAAACCCTTGTATGTCATTTGACCGGAGTTTCTAAAATATTCAGTGGAGAAAAGACAGCATTTTCAACATGAATGAATTTGGGCCCTTTTCTTACGCTATATACAAAACTAACTCAAAATGGATCAAAGGCCTAAATGTTAGAGCTAATGCTATAAAATTCTTAGAAGAAAACACAGGGGAAGGCTGGGCACAGTGGCTCACGCCTGTAATCTCAGCACTTTGGGGCGCCAAGGCGGGTGGATCACTTGAGCTGAGGAGTTCAAGACCAGCCTGAGCAACATGGTGAAACCCCCTCTCTACTAAAAATACAAACATTAGCTGGGCTTGGTGGTGTGGCACACACCTGTAATCCCAGCTACTCAGGATGCTGAAGCAGGAGAATCTCTTGAACTCAGCAGGCAGAGGTTGCAGTAAGCTGAGATCGCGCCACTGCACTCCATTCTAGGCGACGGAGTGAGACCCTGTCTCAAAAAAAAAAAAAAAAAAAAAAAAACAGAAGAAAACATAGGGGAAAAGCTTCATGGTATTGGATTTGACAATGGTTTCTTAGACATGACACCAAAAGCACAGGCAACAAAAGGTAAATTGGACTACGTGAGAGTTAAACACTTCTGTACATGAAAGGAGAATATTTTCCCAGAATTTTCATCCCTCCTTTAAAATTTTTCATTATAAATACTATATAAATGTTTCATGCAAATATTTTCTCCCATTCTGTGAGTTGCCTTCTTACTCTGTTGACTGTCTATACTCTGACAATCAACAGAGTAAGATGCAAATATTTTCTCCCATTCTGTGGGTTGCCTTCTTACTGTGTTTTTTCCAAAGTAACCACTCTGTCAGAGTACAGACAATCAACAAAGTAAGAAGACAACCCACAGAATGGGAGAAAATATTTACAAGTCACGTAGCTGATAAGAGGCTGTTGTTGTTGTTGTTGTTTTGAGGCAGTCTTGCTCTGTCGCCCAGGCTGGAGTACAGTGGCACAATCTTGGCTCACTGTAGCCTCTGCTTCCCAGGTTCAAGTGATTCTTCTGCCTCGGCCTCCCGAGTAGCTGGGTTTACAGGCACATGCCACCACACTTGGCTAATTTTTTTTGTATTTTTAGTAGAGATGGTGTTTCACCATATTAGTTTCGGCCAGGCTGGTCTCGAACTCCTGACCTCAGGTGATCTGCCCACTTCAGCCTCCCGAAGTGCTGGGATTATGGGTGTGAGTCACCATTCCCACCCCTGATAAGAGTTTAATATCTGGAATATATAAATAATTTTTTCAACTCAATCGCAAAAAACACAATTAAAAATGGGCAAAGGACTTTCATAGACACTTCTCCAAAGAAGATATACGCATGGCCAATAAGCACATGACAAGATGCTCAGTATCACTAATCATTAGAGAAATCCAAATCAAACCTACTACCTCCCACCCATTAGAATGGCTACTATCAAATAGAAAATAAGTACTGGTGAGGGTGTGGAGAAGCTGGAACCCTTGTGCACAGTTGGTAGGAATATAAACTGATGTGGTTACTTGGGAAAAAACAGTATGATGGTTCCTCAAAAACTTAAAAGTAGAATTATATACTAACCTTAGAAAGTTGGAAATTCTGACATGTGCTGTATAACACACATGAATCTTAAGGACATTATGCTAGGTTAAATAAGCCAGGCACAAAAGGACAAATACTGTACAATTCCAC